CTTCCGCCACTTCCGCACCTTCCCTTCCCGCACCTTCCCTTCCCGCACCTTCCCTTCCCGCACCTTCCCTTCCCTTCCCGCACCTTACCTTCCCGCACCTTCCCGCACCTTCCCGCACCTTCCCGCACCTTCCCTTCCCGCACCTTCCCGCACCTTCCCGCACCTTCCCGCACCTTCCCTTCCCGCACCTTCCTCCTGTTATTTCATATTCTTTCTCAAAATACAAATCAGATAGTTTACAGCAGGGAGAAGAATGCCCCCTCTTGCTAGGAAGCTGTGGTTCTAATTGAAACTGGGTGATTTTAAGTGATCATATGAGCAATTTCATTTATGTCATGTCTGTTCTGAGGAGGCAGGCAAAAAAGTAAACTACCTAACTGAAAGCTCCCTAAAACAGACTTTATCTTTGGCACTACATAGGATCCAGCCTCACCAATTTTTCTGTGTTATCAAGCTGAGTGGTAGCACTAGATCTGTGCATGTCTCGATATTCACAAAGTAAGAACTTCTCACTCATCCTCTGAACAAGTAAAACTCATTGCTTCACACATATAAAGGAAAACCTAAGTTTCATAAATAACCAGTGTTTCATATTTTACAAGTTTCTGTTATTCTGGGATTTTACACATAAGAATTTAGAAATCTGGAAGAATAAAAGATTAAAAAATTGTGAAAGCCCAGAATAAAATTACTATTTCATTATAACATATTTAATACAAATTAACATGTGAAGTTTTACATTTGAGATAAATAGTAATGTACCTAAACACACATAACATTAAAAATCTGACAAATCATTTGGATTGCTTGGTCATATAAATTAAATGTATACTGGCAATATGGGAACCATATACTACAGAAAAGTAAATACTTTTCTTACTGGTGCAGTGGAACTTAAATTTCAGCATTTATCACAATGCCTTGAAAAGTTCCTCTAGAGAGCTTTTGTAGCTCAATCTATGCTTAGCTTGTATTCACACTGTATCTCCTAAGGCTAAAAGGTTTTGTGATCATTAAGAGAAGTGTCATATATTTTGTTGGCAGTTGCCAAAAAAAAAAAGGAGAACAGATTATTCAGTCACGCAGGGTCAGAATAATATCAGTGCCAACATTAAGTTCACAGTCAGAATACTGAATACACAAAGCAATTAGTCTATTTGGTATGTAGTAGGCCATACCAAAATGTCTGCTTTTACTCTACATAAAGTGACTGATAAATTTGCTCAAGGTTTTCTGAGTTTTAAAGGTCAGGTACAACACTGACCTTAATGCAGATTTACAGCAATTTTTACTCAGTGTGTGTTAATACGCTTAGCGTAATGCATGTGCTCAAAGTGCATTGAAGGAGACATCACAGAGATGTGATGGCAAATAGCAACGTGAAGACAATTAACACTGAATTAATTAATTAAATTTTAATTTTACACTCTTAATTAATCTCAGTTAACAATTGAAAATCATATATCTCTTATTTGGCCTTACCGTGTTTTTGCTCAGGGTTATTTCTTGATTCAGTCTGAAAAGAATTGAATGTTGATAGGAAGCATGTTATAAATCTTTCTGTACTCCCCCCACTAATGGGATTATCTTGCATTTACAAATAAAATGCGCTTTTAAACCAGACCAACCCATTTTTAAGCCACCATAATTACTGTCCTTTCATGAGCCACAACTCTTGAATTTCTTTAGCCTCATCTTTCTTCAGTAAGAGTTTCTGATTTTGTTCTGTTGTACCTATTCTAGGTTGTCTTTCAATAGATTGCTTGGAAGAAGTGTTCACTTGTACACATTACAAACCTCAATGCTGAAGAGTTTCACCAGACATTTTTCCTCAAACTAATCATTTAGGCTACTGTTTCAAATACAAGGAAAGAGATGCCTTTTTTACTGAAAATATACTGGAAAAAAAATAATTCCCTGTTTGACAATCAACTTCCTCCTATCAAGACACAGAAAACTGTTCTTGTACAAGTTTGGACATCAGATTATATAGCATCCTTTATTTTCATACACTGGCCTCGGCCACGCTGATCCCTGGGTCACAGAATCAGGAGCAGAGATTTTACAAATTCTAGTGGGTCTACAACTGTCCAGTTTGTTACATGTCTGGACTAATCCAGGAAAATCCTGTTGCTGAAGCTGCATTCTAAGCAGAGATATCATATCACCCTCCTGAGATACAGCATCTATTCCATATTATAAGAAAACTCTGTAGGATGCAGCCAAAGTATGCTTCAAAAAACACAACTACACATACACAACTAACACAACTACATATACAAGATACAAATTAGCAAAGCATCCCTTTTTTTTTTTTTTTTCATATTTAAAAAATCATTTCTA